GTACATCACGTTCTGCAGAGTCACCAGACAGTCTCCCGTCAATGTCGCACACATCAGCTCAACCGAGCCGCTTCCCTTTGCCCACAAAGTTCCCTTGTCCCCGAACGTGAACTCTCGGCCACACCCCCCGAACATCTCGAGGGTCAAATAGGCTCTTGTCCCCGGTTAGGTGCTGGGAGCTACCCGAATCAACGAGCCACTCGTCCGCAGCTACCCCCTCAACCACGCTAAAGGCCACTCCTTTGGAAAGTTTCCCTCCCCTCTTTTGCTTCGGCTTGTGCTCCCGCCGATCCGGCTTGCTGCATGTAACGGCGCCAGCTTTCCGAGCCCTCCGCAGGAATTTCTTGGGAGCTACGCGCGTGCTGTCCGCGCGGACTTGTGTCATTAACGCGCAATGCGGCCGCGAGTTAAACCCCGAGCCAATCCCGCCGTCGGACGGCCAGATCCGGTTGAATTCAAAACGGGCATACTGTCTGAGTCTATGCATGTGCACGTACTGCAAGTTTGCGACTCAAAATATCATACACATGAGGTTATGCATGCAACTCCCAAGGCGGAGCAGAAATGAGACAATGTAGTCTCTGGATTCCATCAAAGGTGTAACCTTTGCACTACCTTCTCTCCGAGAAGTTTATCACCAGGCGCCTTTGCGCCTCTCCCATGCTCACCAGGAGTAAGAACGTTTCAACCGGATCAGAGGAAAACTCCTCAGCCCTGTTAAGGACCACCACCTCTCGCTTGTGCTACTCTCGGACATATCTGACGCAGAAGGGAACTTGAACGTGTCCAAGTCGGAACTTGGTCTTGAGGACGAGCAGAAAAGAAGGGAGGGGAAGAGGAAGTCCCTCCTCTTAGAGGGAGTCGCTCCCCCTCTCCACAGGCTGAAGAGGGCGAAGGGGAACATGGGGCACAGCAAAGAGGAGAAGACCCCAACCCTGATGACCCCTCTAAAGGCAGTGGAAGCGGAGGTGGCACTTGGGATGGCAAAAAGGAAGTCACTGAGTCCCATAACAGTAAGCCTCCTGCTACACCTGCCGGGGGTGGAGTGACTAACCCAGTTTTGAGAAAGAGGTTTGAGTCACAGGATGCTACTATTAAGGCCCTGCAGGCCCAGGTAGCAATTCGGGTGGCAAATGCACAGGCTACTGTTGCTGCTCCTATGCATAAGTCAGCGTTTTAGGGGGTGAAGCTTCGTCTCAGGGATCCCCCCATGTTCACAGGGGATGATAAGAAGTACCCTGTTAAGGACTGGCTTGCCACTGTTACGGAGTGGCTTGACTCTGGATCATGTGATTCTCAGCTTCGTGTGGGGATGGCCCAAACCTTTTTGGATAAGGGGGCAGCCTCCTACTGGAGGGCAAGGAGTGCAGCACTCAGGTCTCAGGGTGTGGACCTGTTGACCTTGCCATGTTTGCCAAGACTCTGGAGTCAGAGTTCGAGCACCAGGATCCCAAGCAGAATGCAAGATATAAACTGGAGAGACTGACGCAAACTGGGTCAGTGGAGGACTATGCTAGCAGGTTCCAGTCCCTCTCGGTGGAGATTGTCACACTGCCTCTCTCAAAGGGTGACAAGATCCAGAGGTTTAAGAATGAACTCAAGTCT